TGCACGCCGCACTTGAAGCCGTCGAAGAGCGGCGTCCCCTCCGTCCACTGCGCCGCGAGCAGCTCGACGAGGTTCATGTGCGGCGGGACGACGAAGGAGCCGAACTTCTGGCCGCCCGCGCCAACGATCAGCATCAGCTCGCGGTGCAGGTCCTTGACCCCCGACACCTCCGGCAGCTTGAACTTTTCGCCCAGCAGCTCGACCTCCGCGCGCACCCGCTTGGCAACCTCCTCCGCCGTCGTGCCCTTGAGCACGGCCAGCGTGCCCTGATGCATCGTCGAGGACAGCTCACGCTGAGTCACCTCGGAGCGGAAGGTGTACGAGAGCGTGACCGGCTCCGCCTTGGCCTTCTCCTGCGCCAGGAGGAACTCCCGCATCGCCGCCTCCTCTGCGCGCGCTGTCTCGTCCGCCTTCCTCTCGCGCATCGCCGCCATGCTGCTGCCCTCGAGCCGCGGCGACGTCTCCTCCGCCTCAAGCTCGTCCCCGAAGGAGAGGACGCTCGAGGCGGCCTTCTTCTTCTTCTTCTTCTTGCCGCCCTCCTCCGCGCGCGCGCCGCCGCCCGCGCCTCCGTTGGCCGCGGCAGAGAGTGCGCTGGAGCCGCTCTCCAGCGCCTCGCGCTTGCGGCGGTACTCGTCCTTGGACTGCAGCCCCGTCGCAGCCTGCGCGAGCTGGCCTGCGATGTCACCCATTGTGTCTGGCGACGTGCGACTGCCTGCGTTCGAGAATATCCTTGCCTGCAAAAAAGAATTTCAAGTTACTTGAAAAAAGAATTTTACGACCCAAAGAATTCTGCAAAGGGGTGTGAACGGAGAGAGCAAACTCCTGGCAGCTCCCACAGCCGAAATGTGCGCCAGCTGCCCGCTCACCTGTGTCACGCCGCCGCGCACGCACCTCGCTATGTGCTCGCGCGAGCTCCCGCCCGAGCCTCCAGCTCGGTGTCCCACTGCTGCGGAGCCGATCGTTTTTCCTCGGCGCTCGCGTCGAGCCGAGCTTTGGGCACTTTACGGCAGGGGTCGCTGTGCGGGGCCCCCTTTTCCTGCTGGCCCGAGGGGAAAGCTCCAGGTGCCCGCGGGAGCTCCCGGCCGAGCCTCCAGCTGGGGGTCCCACTGTTGAGGAGCCAATCGTCGTCCGTCGTCCGTGGGTTCTCTGGAGGAGCCGAGCTTTTTGCCCGGGGACGCTGCAGGACGGGGCGGGGGCACCCCCCCCCCTCCCTCACCCGCGGGTTTTTCCGCGGGGGGGGCACACGCACCCCTCGCCCCGGGGTTTTTCCGGGGGGCAGCCCCCCCCCCCCCCCCCTCCCTCGATCTCGCGGCGAGAGCACGAGCGCGCCGTCCTCCGGCGACGCGCCGCCACGCTCTTCCTTAGGTCGTCCTCCGAGATATCGGTGCCGGACCGGCGGGGCGGGGGCGGGGCGGCGTCGGAGCAAGTGTCTCGGCCGTCGGTCGACGGAGCGGCGACCCGCGAG